CTACATCAGAGCGAGGGGCACGTAACAAGTCATCACGTACACCTACTCACCCCTCCCCCCTCCCGGGCTGAAATTTTTTTGGACTTTTTGAGTCTTCTGGTGCGTAGAGTCCACTTCACGCAAGCTGCATACTTGGGACACATCATGTTGTACTGACGACGACGTTATTCGCATACACTGAGTGTGTTATGTGCCCTCTTAATTTCCTACGTACCCGTATTGTGTGATCATGGCTTCGGGGTTCGCGAGAGGATCCTAGCTCTCGCACAGGGTCCCCCAAAGAACATTGGGTTTCCCACAGCGGGACCCATTTGCTTTATATAGGAAGTAGACTAAGGGACCCCCCGCATTAAAAAACTTCCCAAACAAGAAAATGGGTACGTAGGGGCCGGAAAAAACGTTTTTCGTGCCCCCTTGACCAGAGTTCAATAAAAAAAACAACCCCCAAAACCCGCCGGAACTCTACTGAACGACTGCAACATGCATTGACGATCAATAAAACCGACACGACCCAACAAAGTTATCCTACCTACTCGGGGTAGGCCTGACCCCATTGATACTTTCTTAACGCATGCCTACAGGGCTTCGTCTTTCGAAACGCACCTAGAGAGAAAAAACCCACACGCCAACCCGAAAAAACACTCCGCCACACACAATGGTTGACACGAAGGTAGAGGTGACGCACAAAGTACGAACGAAGCAAGTACCGGGCCCGAGAGGTCAGAGGTGTTCAGAGGTGCCCTGCATAGATCGGAGGAGAGATATGTATATCGTCGATGAGGGTCACCGGCACCGGACGAGGGGGTGAGGGGCGGTTCACATTAAGACCCTGGTCCTGCCGCGAGTATCGACGACCAGTCCGGTGTGATCCCTTGGCGTTCCGCCGTATCGCCTAGGACAGGGTGCCTACCCTTCAGACTTACCCGTGTGGCCGGGTGGGCGTACATGGCATCCCACCTGTGTTTTCGGCCCTCCCTGTCGGGTGTTTTCTCTCACCACGCCCATGACTGGGGCGCCAATCTGACGCCACCGACCATCGAGACTCACGAGCCGGCGAGGACCAGCCGTACATTCTGTACAACCACAAGTAACGTGTACATCTGGGCTCTGGGCGCATTAACCGCAACCCGGGATTTTTACGAAAAAACTCCTCCCCGAAACCCAGGCGCCCACACCCGGCGACTCTGCAGCCATCGCTGTCGCTTGCAGCCCTCGCGAAGGAACTCGCGGCGACGCAAGCAGTCAGGAGCTTGCCTGCCCAGAATTTGGCCGTCGTACACCGATTCGCCACCCTCAGACTTCGCTCGCCCCTCCGGTCGTCTCCCATGGGCTCGGTCCCGCGTTGCCCCCCCCCATGGCACAGCCTACATATCCTTGAAAAGCAGCACCCGGGGTGCTGTGACCGGGACCTCCGTCTGTATCGGGCAGTGCAGCCGTACACGGAGGTTCGCAATAGATACAGTTCGAAAAAAATTGAACCAAACTGCCTGTCGTCCCAGGCATCGGGGAAGGAAGCACAGCAAACCCCGTCCCGACTAAGCATAGGAAACGCCGGCACGAGAGAGATTGGAGTGCTACCTAAGTGCATTTTTCCAACACACGGCTACCAACAATGTCCGACTCGAACGAACACACGTAGACCATGCCTAGCAAAGTCAATCCTCGCCAATACATCGTGTACTGAAGGCATAGAGTCCTGTCGCTAAAGGAACTGGACTTGCTAGCTGTTGTCGGTGTCATCACGACAGAGAGGAGGCGGCGGGGACGGTGGCCGTGAACCAGATGCACCAACCTCGGTAATCTCGTGTCAAGCCTCCACAGCACCATCGCGGTTCCATGCTCCGCCTCTCTGGAATCACCTCGCCCATTCGCCCCGCCTCCGTCGGGCTCGTTTTCATCTCCGGCTTGTATTTCTCCCCCTCAGTCGACGGCGACACAATGCAGATGTGTGTTGTTCGGACGGCGAAATGAGTTTGTCATCAACATGACGTCGCAGCAAGAATTTTTGGAACCGAGGCGTTCATCGGCGGTAAGAGCAAGCGCGGAAAGCAGCGTGTCGTGACAGTAGTGCACGACATAACGCGACTGAACCGACCCTATCGAAAACAACACGGAGCAACGATAGGTTCGCAGACCTCGGCGGAACGACACGAAAACAGAGGAGGAACTCGCACGGAAGCACCCAACGCGACCGAGAAGTTACAGCAATAACCAGAAAACAATGGTCGTCTTGAGTGCATTTGTTGCCGGGTTTTCGCCGTCTCCGGGCGGTTGACAGAAATTGATTGCTTATGGTGTTGTCGTGTATATTTGTTCGTTCGCGGATGCCTCCTTCAGAGGTCCCCTTCTTACTCCCCGTATTCTGCGCTAGTCCGACAGGGTTAGACGGGTTTCCCTGGCCGCGAGCTCGCCCAGAATGAGGCAAATGTGTTTGCTTGACATGAAAGGGTTAGGTCTCGCCCTACCGCCGTGTGTGAAACGATTTTCTGAACCCCCATCGCGCTGGTGTGCGTACCGTGTGTGTCCGACAAGCAAAGGTGTGTGTCACGAGAGAAAAGGACGTCCACACGATCACCGTCGAGACAAGATTTACGAGTAGTGGCGCGACAAGATCAGGGTCGACTCCGAGCACTTCGACCGCATGAGACAACCCACAGAGTGTGCAAAGGTTGCAAAGGAAATACAAGGGGGTTCGATATTGACGAACGTTCATGATACGTGGGCAACGACAAGCGTAGAGGGGTTCAAGGAAAAAATATCACAACACCTTAATCTAGAAAATACCAGGGCATAGGACGGTCTAGAAATCTACCACGAGAGTCATCTGTCTCCCTCCCGGGCGTATTCTGACTCGTGGGCGGAATTGCTCCGGGTCCGGGTTCGCTTTTGAGGAAGGTAAAGGCAGCCGGACCCTCCTTGGCAGACGCGGAAGGCAGCAGATCTTCTCCCCCCCGTGGTTTGGTGTCCTGCGTAGCCGGCGCCTCGGGCTTGAGATCGCCCGTGGGGGTAACCCACCGAGATTCGGCCGAGACAATGCTCGCCGAAGACGAAACATTCGTGGGGAATGGGCGAGGAATACTCCAATTTCCCCGGCGCCCACCGTTTTCGCCCAGTCGGCAAGGTCCGTGCTGGTTCAGCGCACCTCGAAAGAGAGCCGAGTCGCTTCGCCCAGGTTAAGGGAGGCGATGCTCGCGCTCCTCGCGCCACCCCCCCCGTAAATGCAACCGCGCACCCCCGGTAGTGAGCCGATTGTCGCCAGCACCGCCCAAGGGTGCGAGTGGAGGATATGGCAATCGCTCAACGTCCGCTTGCAGAGCTACGAGCGCAGCGGAGCACGTTCACACACGGCCAGTAATTTCCTCCAATGTTTCGAACGGTCACACGCCCGAAAACGGCGTGCGGACGGCTGGCGAGCAGAAGAAAAAGACCTATGCACATTGAACCCTACAACACGGTATTCCGGATGGCACATCGCTCGCCCGAAAAACGGGCACGCGAAGCAGCAAACGGGATAATACATAATTTCGAACAAGAGACGTTAGTACGAAAACTTGATAGGAAACAACGAAGGGGCTGTCATGATTTCTGTTTGCCATGACTATAATAAACGAAAAAAAATACGTCTTCTACTCTCTCCACAGTACCACCTCTGATGAGTCACAACCGCTCTGTGACGTTACATCTACACAACACACACTTTCGTCGCACCACAAAAAGGCTAGCCATAGCAGATAGATGTCTCTAACCCTGGAGCTGGAACACCGGCCCCAAACCCCGCTCGTCTCCCCCTCCTTCCGTCGCCATACGAAACAATAACGCGGGGAGAAAGAAAACGACCGACCGACCGTTTGGTTGGTCCGCCTTGAAGGGGTAGACCCTGTCTCCCAGCGATCAAAACAATTCGCCCCCGCGCGCGCGCCGTCACGTGCCCTCAAAAGAACACCTAAAACCTTTGCCCGTAAGAAACGCAAGCAAATTCAGTCATGAAGAACACGACTACTGTCACGTGAACAGCAGCTACACGACAACGGAATGGCCGGGTTTCTTCGGAATTCGGGGGGGGGGAAGTGGGGCGAGCCTGGAGCGTCTCTGCGCGTTACTTCGATCATCAGGCCAGGAGCTTTGACATGTACTGATTCTCTTGAGGGTCGCGTCGCCACGGGTTCCGCGGCACAAGGTCGCTCCTGGAGCCGACCAAAATGTATAACAATCCCTGCAAACATACGAGCCGGAGAGTAAAATAAAAGCAACCGTCGGCAACAACGACGACGACGACGACGACGACGCCAACAACGGAAGCAATATCGCCAACAAGACAACAACAGCAAAGACGACAGCAACATCGACAACACGGTAAAAAATATAAAGCTCGTTACTTCTCTCCATTGTGTTCCCCACGCCCCCAAAACTGCCTCCCACGAACCCCTGGCATTCTGCAGGGCTTCACAAACCAATCTTGTCTCCTTCCCACACCCTTATCACCTCTGGCCAAACGAGAATGCATCCGTCCTCTCGGGCGCCCTCGATAAACAAAAAACAAAAAAATGGGGGGCTCCGTGCCATCGATGTTGGTGCCCCATCGCTCCAATAAACTTCAGACTACCCGGCTCCCGAACCCCCCTCCGCGCCCAGACCAACACGGACGCTCTGCTTAATTCGCACCTGTCTCATTTCCTCTTAAACAACACATACCTATTAGTGAAACCGAAAAGCCATATCAATAAGCAGTTGTGGACTGGGGTCGTTCTACAGCGTCTGCGCTCGAAGAGCAAGCGCACGCTATCAAAGGTAGTCAAGCGTACGCTTAGACAAATGACAAAAAAAACAGTCATGTTGCCGCTGAAGCAGAAAACAGACGGAAAAAACATCGCCATGTTGCCGCAGCCGCTATCGTCCTCGTCGTTCCCATTTCCCGCCTCAACATTACGAAAGAACATACACAAGCGGTTTGGCTCCTCGGTGAGGCGGGTCTTCCAATTAAATCACCAACTCACTAACTACTATAAATTTCGGCTGTGCCGGGACACAGGCGTCCGAAATCCGTCCTCGTCTTCGTTTACGGGGGTGCCGAAACCGCCCAGAGGGTCGGGTCCGTCCCCCGCGTCCGTGGTGTACCCATCGCCCCGTGACGGCGTCGAAATCGCCGCACGGCCGCGACCATCGCCGCGCGCGCCGCCGACGTCGCTGTAGATGGGCGTCGTGAACCCGTCTTGGGGGTCACTGTTAAACGCCTCCTCCTCCTCCTCCTCCTCCTCCTCCTCCTCCTCCTTCTCTTTCTCCACCACGCCCATCTCGAGGACGCCCAAGAGCGAGGTTGACTTAGAACCCGTCGCAGAAGCGTCGCCAGACCGACGAGGAGGCTTTCCTCCTGCAAGTTTACAGCCGCCGCCGCCAATGCGGGAAGAAGAACGAGCTGCACTAGCACCATCACCGCCATCGCCTTCCGCCGCATTATCACGCGCCACGGCGGCACCGTGTTCCGCCGCCGCCGCCGTCGACAAAGGCGCGGTCGAACGCAGCCTCCTCGCCAGGGGAAGGTTCCTGAACGCGCTCAGGAGGCGCGACGGGTGCAGGGGGGACACCGGGGACAGCGGGGACCCCGGGCTGGGCGATGCGGAAGGCAGCATCCCCCCGGCCCGAAGGAGGCGAATCTCCCGGTGCTCCACCTCGCTAGCGTCCGCGATTCGCCGGAACCCCTCCGTCGTCACGAACTCCCTCTGGAAGTTGGTCTGCCACGCGAGCGTCGGGTCATGGTGTGACAAACAATAATCGAGATTGGTGGCTTTCCAGGATGACACCGTCGTTGGGAATCTCTATGGTGCATCGTACTTCACGGGGGCGGAGGGAGCTGAAGAGTCAAAACACACACGTGATTGTTCACTGAGACACGAGGCTCATGTCCTCTGCAGGAATGCAGCCGAGGTCATCCTGGCGGGGGGAGCCAGAACAAACAATCTACCAGCCTGGGAAAGGATTGCTTGGGGAACATTGCTTCGGGAGAAGAAACGCGCAAACGTGGAACGATACAAAAAACCCAAGAATGCGAGTCGCGGTGGGATGCGTCGTGTCTACGCTGCTCACGCTGCTAGCTTAGACACCGGCGTTTACGCGAGACTTTGTGGATAGACCTTTGAGGGGGGGGGGGGG